GTAGAAATGAGAAAAAGCTATATTCAGTCGGTGGATCGATGCTTTGCCTCAGACTTCAGCACAGAAAATAGAGAAGCCTACTTAGAACTTAAAAAAGAGTACACAAAACTCAAAGATATTAAAAAAAGATCAGTATGAGAAACAAAAACAAAATGATTTCGAGAATTCGCAGTTTGGGGAGCGCTTCTGGAAAGCGGTAAAATCATACAGACCGAGAGATACCTCACGTGGTGCGATTAGCATTGATAAATGGAATGATTTTTATGAGGGCATTTATCCATCTAGAGTTACACTTGATATTGAATTTCTTGACCATCATGTAAACCAGTTAGATACCAGGATCACTCCGGATGAGGTTAGAAGGACAATAGATACCTCCGGTAATGGTAAAGCACCTGGCCCTGATTCTGTTTCGAATGAGTTTTTCAAAGCATTACCGGATTGCTAGGTGAGCAGCCTGTTTAACGTTTAACAGGGTCATGGAGTGTGAATCTTGTCCTCCTGACTGGGCCGAGGTGGTCCTGACTATGCTCCACAAGAAGGGTGATACTGATGATCCAGCCAATTATAGAGGAATAGCACTTGTAAATTGTGTAACCAAGATATTTACGTCAATAATTAAATGCAGATTAGAAAGATGCGCTGAGGAACAAGGGATTCTGCCCGAATCACAGTTCGGGTTCAGAAAGAAAAGGAGCTATACTGATGCTATTTTCACTCTTCTGTCGACGGTCCATTTTCAGCTGAGACATGAGAAGGCTGAAGTATTCTCGGTATTTGTAGATTTCAAAAGAGCGTTCAACTCCATTCCACATAGTCTACTTTGGCAGAGGTTGGCGGGGATCGGCGTCAGTACAAAGCTTATCAGAGTCATAAAATCTTATATGACAGAGCTGTGATTCGGGTAAGAAGCAATGGTGAGCTTTCAAAAGAGTTTGAAGTGTCCGAAGGAGTATTGCAGGGTGAGTCTCTTAGTGCATTACTATTTGTACTTTATATTTCTAATTTTGAATCCGATCTTAGAAGCAAAGGGCTTCAGGGTCCTGATATTGATGGGTACAAAGACCTACTTCTTATTCTATTTGCTGATGACACAGTTCTGTTAGCTAGGAATTATATGCATCTAGTCAAGGCACGTAAGGCCCCAGAAGAATATTGTAACGCTAAAGGGTTAACTGTTGACACAACAAAAGCTAAGATAATGATTTTTAAGGAGAGGGGCAATCCGCGTGGTTTGAAAAATATGCGCTTCACAGGGGGAGGGAGAGGGAGGAAGAGGGAGGGAGAGGGAGGAAGAGGGAGGGATGTCGAGGGAGGGAGAGGGAGGGAGAGAGAGAGAGAGAGAGAGAGAGAGAGAGAGAGAGAGAGAGAGAG